ATACATATTATATATTATACATGTATATTATATATATTACACATATTATATATAAATTATACATATTATCTGATACTGAAGTTTGAAAATAAATAGCTGGTTCAAGATTTTACAAGCTGAGCCAATTACTGGTGAAGTTATACATATAGGCACATTCATATAACAGTCTTGCCTACGCCAAATAAACAAAACTTAAGTGTCATTACAATTCTAAGCTTAGAGAAGCACATTTTATAAGATAAAAAATGAGAATATTTTATCTCCATCCATAAATTCATTTTTTTAACTTTTTTTACACCTAAGGAGTAAATACTGATTTAGTACACTCTTGTCAGAACACAGTAAAATGAATACCCTTTGCTTTTAAAATACTCCTATAAGTTATGATTTAGCTATTTCCTCTCTCTTCCACCTACCATCCCTTCAAAAGGAAGAGATACTTTTTTTCTTTGGGGGCTCTTCAACATAAATTACAGGACAAAATGCTAACAAAAAAAAGTATGGTTTAAAAAAATGTAGTAAGATATGATTGGTTTTACCAGTTAACAAACTTTTTATTAAGAGCTCAGACTCATTTTTTATCTACATTTAATCAATTAGACTTTCAGAATATATACCCAATATGTAAAATACAAATTTAAATATCAAACAATTATCCTTACATGAATGCAAGAAATTTATAAATTTTACATAAAATATATGCCAGTTTGAAACAAACATTTCATCTATTAAATGTATTCAGAAGATCAGTTAAATGAATAAAATATGAACTGGGCACTACTGGGATCTTCTTTTCACATGCAGAACGTAAAAACACACTTTTGTATGCGCATGTGCGGTGCACAAAGATGCCTCAGAAACGTGAAAATTATCTGTATATTCCAGTAGTAACCGTTATGATCCTACTTTGAAATTCTCAAAACATCCCAGATCCCTCTTCAAAAAAAAAAAGAACATTTCTAAAACATGTATGGGGAGGGTTCACATATTATGAGGTAGTTTAAGAAAAAGCAATGAATGATTCCAAGTAAAAACATAGAGATAACTGATTTAAAGTGGAAAAAAATTTATTTAACTTTTACCATATTGGGACAACAAAGCAGCCCTTTCATGTAACCACTCATTAAAAAGGTTTTACAGAACATTAACATAATGCAGTAACCCCCGTTTTCTTTCAGGCATTTTCAAAGGGCATTTCAGACCCACAATATCTTCAAATGAGTGTGCAAAAAACAGCTCCAAAATGATTAGTAAGGTAAGATACGGTTTCCCTTTTTATTTGAACATTAATTTTCCATGTTTTGGAGATATGCTGATTTTAACATTCATAAATATGTAGTTATTTAAATGTCAGGATATCATACTGTCAGCAATCTTGGGATTAACAGCTACTATCAAGCAACTAGTTTCTAATGCACACAACATAATTTGATAGTATACACGAAAGAAGATAGCCTGAATTTTGCCCTCAAATGCGCAAAAAGAATTTTTTATATATCTCCTCAAAAGTCTTTGGCCTTGCTGAATAATTATAGAGTTGTTATTTTATTCTGATGCAAAATAAGCCTTCAAGTGTCCCTTACTTGATCTTAGAAGGTCAAATTCTCTGTCCAACAATTCTTCTTCTGTTAACTTGGAGAAATTATCCTCTCCAAAAGGATTCCACCCTGACATATCTGGTGGGTTACTGATGTTCTTCTGACTTGTAAAATCTGCAACTGCCTCCTTCTCCGACATTGACCTATTATACAACAATTGAGAGAAGCAAAAGAAGAGAAACAAAAATATCAGAATTAAGAAAAAAACTTACAGTGCACCAATTCACACTTTATGAATGCTTAAATAACCAGACCATTTTATTGTAATGGAGATGGCAGATTATGGGTATGGGTTGGAGAGAAAGAACATTTGGGATGTGAACCACCTCCATAAGGCATACTAGCTGTGTCATCTCCTGTATAAAGAACACTAGTTGTGGTCCTTAACCTCTCTGTGCAGCAGCTTCCTCATCTACAGCAGAAGAGTGACAGTCTCTACCTCACAGCATTATTGAGGAGATTAAATGATGTGACACATGTAAAAGAAGAGTAGAGTATCTGGGAAAAATAAAATAAAATAATAAAGTAAAAGAAGCATAAATAAATAATAAATACTAGTTATTATTCCCACAGCATACAAGTTTGAAGGTGCAAATCAGCTACAATACCAAACAGCATTACTCTAAAATAACTACTTACTAAATACTGTCCTGGTTATGCAGGATACTACAGTAATTTTCCTTTTGAAAAAGATATTCCTTACATATAGCTACCCACAGAGGATGAGCTACTAGGATTACTTTATAAAGTGGCTGAAATTAAATAACAGTTATTTTGTATGTTCATAATCAATTATTCCTGGTGTTTAAAACATCTATAGTCTGGAAACTGAGAGGATTGGTTCTCTGAAAGTTACCTGACAGGGTTCTGGGCTTTTTAGAGAAGATGTGAGCTGAAAGCCAAGGGTCCCTGGGTACCTCTCCCTTAATCCAAGCCTGGAGCCACAGCACAGGAATGAGGTAATGTAACAAAGCTGTGCAGTTCCTTTCATAATTCAGAACCAGATCTTCTAATACCGACAGCAGAGAAAGAATATCCATGTTCAAAGAAATATCTCAAGTTTGCAAAACTTGACTCATTCTTTAAATTCACTTTTTCTCTTGTCATCTTATTCTCACTGCCACTCTCACTGTCTTAGAAGGGAAAAGAAGATAAGATGTCCATCCCTTATTCTAAGCTCACTCAGTATATCTGAACCAAGAACAGAATGTTTAATCAATTACTTTAGGTTAGAGTACACAGAGAAAAACACTAATACCTGGAAGTACATAAATTTGCTTAGTAAACAGAACTTAAATATTGCCATGGCCCAAATCTGCCTGCCTAGGACAGAAGCCCATCTCTAATCCAAAACTGCTTTCAAGCACTTTAAGGGCCTCTCAGAACACAGAACAGAAAGGGGAAAACTCCAGAACATGACCCCTTCTCCACTCAACAAATGCATCCACTTCCACAATAATTTGCTTTCCACTTACAGGAAAAATACTTGCCTGTTGGCACTATACGAGGAGTCCACTATGGTTCCAACCTGAGCTGGAAGTGATGAAGTGTAAGAAACTAAAGTTGGTGAGAAGTCTTGAGGGGAGGTAAGATATTCAGGTGATGCCTGCTGTTGAGACTGCTGATGCTGAGCTAGCATCTGCTGCTGCAAGAAAGCCTGCTGATACTGCTGCATCTGAAACAACAAACACCGCCACCTGGATGAACTCTCGATTCACTGAAGCATTTCAGTTTCACAAATATTTATTCTATTTCTTCCTTTTCAAACTGGTGGAAAACTAGAAACCTAGAACACAACATGTATTTGAAGGAGCAGCTCTGTTAACTACAAAACTATAGCACGATGAATTATATCTACTTAACAGGTTGTGAAGCTAGGCTCCCTTGGCAATTTTTTTAAAAATCCTTTCTCACATGCCCACTGGCTTGAACATAAGTGGTCCAGGTATGACTGTCCCATAGGGCGGCTTGTACCACCAGTGATACTTGAATGACTATCCCATCAGGCACCCTGAGCCACCAGTGATATAAGTGGTACAGTTACACAGGGGACAGTCATGTACCACTTGTGGTTCAAGCTGCCAAGCAGCAAAATAGGTATTATGGCCCTATCATAAATGTTAAATATTTTAAGAAAAAGCAAGATAGTACTTAAAATCACTAGTATCCTAGTTACTATTTAAAAAAAAAAAACACTA